TAAAGAGTGGGGGGGTGTGTGTTGAAGTGCAAGACACTGAAATGGAGCTGGAAGCTATCTTTAGATTAGCATAACGGGGGGAATGGTTGTACTGGGACCTTCTAGTCCTTGTAACTATTTCAGCTCCACTAGAAGTCACTATTACATAGTGGAAATTTACCTCAAATAGCCTTAAGATCTAGATTCTTTCTACATTTTAAAATGCCAAGAAACAATTGTTCATTATGCTCAAGTGGACCAAGAAAAATATCTTTAAAAATGCGAGCAGTTTCTCTTACACATCCACGCAACAGAACTGAAGCATCAAATCACTTCTGATCAAAATAAATTAGCATACCCTCTTTCAAGAGTAACAGTTTGCATCCAGTCTGCTGCCTCTTTTTTTCTTTTCTTTGTAAAACAGAACTGCTCTTTTTGTTCTCATTCTATTCGTGGTATTTTAATACTATCAAAGCTTGATGATTGCTTTAGAAAGAGTTGGGTAAAATGGCAGAGACACTTTTATGCCACGGTCAGTCATAATAATAATATCAATAAATGTGTCTGCATAAAAATGGAAATGTTTTGATGTTTCTTACATAAACTCCTGATACTTTGGCTACTCAAAGTCAGAAGAGAAATAGAATATAGACCTTGCTAAACCTGACAGATTTCCAATTAGAAAGTCTGAAAGACACCACCTAGAAACAGGAGCAAAACTTGAAATGGAACATTCCTTAAAACAACTGAAATCAAGTCTCTCCATTCTTATTCAAATTAAGGCAATTTCCCTGAGGAAGAGAATGGAAAATCACTTTATGTTACATTTACACAATAGATAACTACTCAGCCATTAAAGAAATAAACTAGCAGGACACCTGGGTGGCTCATTTGGCTAAGCATCTGTCTCTTGGTTTAGGTCCAGGTCATGAACTCATGATTTCTGAAGTTTGAGTCCCACATTGGATTGGGTTCTGTACTGACAGCACAGAGCCTACTTGGGATTCTCTCTCTGCCCCTCCCCTGCTCATGCTGTCTCTGTCTTTCTCAGAAACAAGTAAATAAACTTAAAAATATCTGAAAAAAAAACAACATATAAAAAACAAACTAGCATACACACAATATGGGTGAGTTTCATAAACATTCTACTGAGCAAAAGAAGCTTGTTTTCAAAGAGTACATACTTTATATAAAGTTCATTTATATGAAGCTCAAAAATAAGAAAAAGTAATCTGTGGTGATAGAAATCAGGATAATGCTCAATTTGTGAGGCTAATGATTAAGAAATCATCAAATTAGCTTTGAGTTTTTGTGGTACTGGTAATAATCTATATCTTGAACTGGGTGCCAGTTACAAGGGGTTATTTGTTTACATTGTGGAGGAAAAAAGTATGAAGCGTCGCTTGAGTTTTTGGACTTCTCTGCATATATATTAAATCTCAACTTTAAAAAATCTCAAAAAAATTATTTGAAGAAGAAAAGGACAATTTTGTATAAAAACATCTGGAAGGAGTAGAACCAAAGTGCCAGAAAATTAGTGATTTTTGTGTTCAGGAATCAATGGTAATTTCTTTTTACTTTTTTTTGCGTTCTTAAACATTCTCGATATCTTTAGCGTCTATATTCGATGTTCTCTTTTAAAAGATATTATTGCTATTGTCTTTTTCTGAGACTTTAGGAAATATGCTCAAGAATCTTTTCATTTTTCTTCTCTCTTTCTTTCTTTCTTTCTTTCTTTCTTTCTTTCTTTCTTTCTTTCTTTCTTCTTGTTTTTTGTTTTTGAGAAATGAAGGGTTTTATTTCCATTTTCAGTGATGTAGACAGTATGGACCAGCCGAGATGGTGTCGTAGTTCCATCAGCCTAGATCACACCTTCAAACACAATTGCGCTGTGAGGTGCAAAGACTGTCTGAAGGGAGGCAGGTGCCCAGAAGGAAGGAGTGAGTGCTCTTGCCCAGCTGGCTGGGGAGATGTGCTCTGCAATGATAGTAAGTCATGCCACGGAGAACTGGTGGAAGGGTAATGAGTTGTCCTTTACTGCTGGTAAATTACTGTGATGAGTTCTCCCTAAAATGTTTTAACAAAGTAAACAATTGGTATGGTGACAAACCGATTGATTTGCTGTGCATAAAGAAGTGCTGAGGGTTTGCACTGAACATGTGATTAGAAGGGGAGAGTTTGTGTTACCTGTGAAACTTGATGTGCTGTCTCTTATTTATCCCCAGAACATAAAAGTTAATAAAGGATCCTAATATTCTAGACCTATAAAAATCCCTCCATTAAATAAATCATTAGGCGCCGGCAAGCTAATCCCAATGAAGGAAAAAAAGAATTCATGTTACAAAGTGCAATTAATGGAACTGCTTTACGGCTTCTTCTTTTTGTTTATTTGTTTTTCTTTTCCTTTGCGTAAGATGTAAATACAGCCAATAACACTTTTTTTTATGTCCCTCATGTGAAAATATCAAGGATTTGAAAAACGCTACCTCTAACAAATCTTTTCTTTTACATTTTAAATGGAGGTGTGCTCGCAGGAGAGAAAACTGCCCAGTACTAAAACCAAAATACATTGACTGTTTCCTCTTTCTCTTTTTAAATTTACCTTATAAATTTTAATGAAAGGATTTTCTTAGTTATTGTGATTAGCTTGGAAGATGATATGAGTAGATTTTCTTTTGAACCCCTTGCGTATGAGCAGAAAAATGACAAATATTGTTTCTGAGACAGATGCACAACTTGAGTCAGAACATAGTGAAGTAGTTTACCCAAAATTACTAGTTAGGGTGTTGAGGATCTTCCTTAAGTGTGACTCTGATCATGTTTCTCTGCTGCTCAAAAAAGTTTAAGAGTGTCCCATTTCCTGATACATAAGCACATACTTCTAATCTTGTACTGACAACCATCTCCAATCAGACCCTCATAAATCCTTTTCTGTTTTTATCCTAATCACAGCTCTTTGCTCAGCTTGTCATTTCAGCAAACTAAACCACTCACTACTTAATCCTTTACACTTTTCAGCTCTGTGCCTTTCGCTGAACTGCCATCTTTGGCTCTTGCTGCTTATTGTGTGAAGCTTTATCAGATAGCCCCAGTCTAGCCACAACTATTTATGTCTTTGATGGAGTTCAAGCCATTCTCTCTCTCTGAATTAGATGTAGCTATCTCCTATTCTCTCTCCCTTACTAGACTGAGAGCTCATTAATCAGGTTCTATTTATGTTTCTCCAAAGTAAAGGCACTCAGTACTTGAATGGACAAATGAATACAACTTGGTGTTGAGACACCCTACTATATTGACCTGCAACTTGACGGACTCAACTGTACACAATTGGGATGGAATAAATGCTGCATGACCATTAGGAAGTAACTGCATCCGTTACATAAGTTTCATTGGTAAATGTGCATCTTGCAATCTCTTCATCCCTAACATGGCAGCATGAGAAATGAAACTAAAAATCTATCTCAAATACATCAGAATAAAACATCTCTGATACAAAATTAATGTAGAAATATTAAAAGTGAGCTTATTGATGATATGAAGAGAAGATGATCTCTTCTTTAGCTTTGGAAAACTCTGAGGATATCTAAAGTGTTTGCATGGTCCTACAAAGGGGAATCTGTTCCTGAAATCAGAAGCTTATAAAATCTTTGCATTTCCTCTTTTTTTTTTTATTTTTTACAAAAATACCCAGAACATTCAAAAAAGAAAGTGCCCACTAATTCACTCATTCTTTAACAAAAAAGAAGAGTGAGAACATTTTCCTAAAATTCCCTAGAAGCCTTGGGGTGCCTGAGTGGTTCAGTTGGTTAAGTATCTGACTTCAGCTCAAGTTACCATCTTAAGGCTCAAGGGTTTGAGCCCTGTGTTGGGCTGTGTGCTGACAGCTCAGAGCCTGGAACCTGCTTTGGATTCTATGTCTCCTCTCTCTCTGCCCCTCTCCCACATATAACCTGTCTCTCTCTTTCTCTTTCAAAAATAAGTAAACATTAAAAAAATTAAAAATCACGATAAACCTCAATAAATTAGGGACTAAGCATTTATTACACATATTTTTAACTTATCAGCTCTTCAAATACAGCAATAAAAATTAAAATAGAATATTCTGCAGGGATCTGTAAGATTCGTTTTCACACTGAGTAGATTTTTCTAGCCCAATATCTATTGGTCTATAATGAAAATATTTACTTTGAGGTTTTAGAAATTTCTCCAAGAAATTATAATGAAGCAATTTAAAGATTGTCAGCAATTAATTTTAATAGCACATATTAGAATTCCACCTCTTTTGAAGAGATTTCAAATTGACTCTCATTTGTTATTGTGAGACTCTCTCCACTAGAAAGGGAAGGTAAGAGGATTTCCATATGACAAATGAGTGGCCTATATATGGAAGAGAGGATTCAAGATTTCTTCCAAATCATCCAGCTATGGTGTGGGACATGTTTGTTTTAAAATTTTCTTTTCCAGGGTAATTGCTCTGTTTGATGCTTATGAAGTATTTAGCAAATCCTTGTACTATGTAATATATTCTACCTCATGGGGGAATGTTAGTTTATTGTGTTGGTTTGCTAGTGTTAATGAATTTCTATAATCCAGATACTATGCAAGCTATTTAAACTTTGTTAGCTTCAGGGCGCCTAGGTGACTCTGTCTGTTGACTGTCCGACTCTTCATTTCAGCTCAGGTTATGTTCCCAGAGTCATGGGATCAAGCCCTGCTTCTGGATCCATGCTGAGCAGAGCCTGCTTAAGATTCTCTCCCTCCCTCCCTCTGCCCCTCTCCTGCTTACTATCTCTCTGCCTCTCTCTCTCTCTCTCTCTCTCAAAATAAAATAAAATAAAATAATAAAATAAAATAAAATAAACTTCCTTAGCCTCATTTTCCAGGTTTATTTTTTTTAAATTATCTCTCTATAGTTGCTGTAAAAGTAAAAAAAAAAAAAAAAAAACTTACTACAATGTAGGTTTTAACCAATATTGCCAGTTTCTTTATTTCTTATCCCTTTTGTTTTTCTCTTTCCTTTCCTTCTCCTTTGTATAGTATCTTCAAGCTGAAAAGAAAAGAAAAAAATGAATAAGAAGCCAAGTTTCCATGTTGGCATCTGGAATTGTGTGGGCCGGCAAATAGAGGACATGAAATAAATATAAATTTATAATATTTAGCCAGCTATGATAAAATGCCAATTAAAATGGTTACTGAAATCATCTCAACAGCTGTATTTACTCAAGTTAAACTTATAGTCACATTTTCCCCAATTTATTGTTTAATGGAATGCTAAACACTTCCCAAAAAACAAACAAGCCAAAGAAAACCGTTGTTTGCTTGACTTCATCAGCCTGTGACAATGCAAAATACCTTGGCACCTTCAAGACAGTCTTAGTCACATTCATTCCTACTTAAAACTACATGGCATTTCCCCCCCTACATTTTCTTCCCACTTTTCAAACTGGAAGTTGCCTTGTATTTCTCATTAGGGTTGGTGACAGCTACGCAAACAGATGTCTAGGTAGCTGTGAAAACGTGAGTGTTAGAGTTGAAGGAACAAGGTAAAGTTTGCATGTGAACCTTGTTATCAGTTTTTCAGTGACCCTCACTCTAACTAGCTGCATCAGTAATTCCCCCCAGGAATGATTACGCCGTCCAAGCTAGAAGCATGACAGTGACTCTTTCTGAGTCTGTAAACCAGAGTTTTTAATTACCTGGTATCCATTCTAATAGAACGGCAAACTTTTTTCTCCACTGTATCATGAGTATATTACAGTGCTTGTTCACCTTCTCCAACTGTCTTCATGGCTTGTTCCCCAGAGACCCCCGAGAAAGCATGTGGCAGCACCTGTGATTGTCAGAATGGAGACAGAATGGAGGCACTTGTGATCCTCTGACTGGGCGGAGCCAATGCCCCCCAGGAGTTCCTGGGAAAACCTTGGAAAATGGTGGGAATGGCTGGTGCTGGTCACATGACACAACTTCTTAAGTTCTGGAGGTTTCTAATCAGAAATAAACTAAATGAAACCCACATCTGTATTCTTCAAGGTGGTCTTTTCTGAAGAAGAAAAAAGGCTGTATCTACATATACAAGAGTACAGTTCCTTTGACTGATGCCATGTATATCTAAGCAGGATAAATCCTGATACAAAGGAAACCTTCTTCTTCTCCTGGGCAAAACGTTGAGTCTGTATGTATAGGTTTGGACCCAGCAGCTAGGGGGAATTTATTTGCTCTGCATAAGGAAAAGAAGAAAAAAGAAATGGAGCTCTTTGGGCAAACCAGGGAGGAAGAGAGATGAAAATCAGAGAAGAAAAGGAAAGGAGGGTGTGAGGAAAAAAAGAAGAGAAATGATGGATGAAAAACTCACAAAATACCTGTGAGTGCTGTGTGTGTGGATTGTACATGGAAACCAGTGAAGAGGCCACATCTTCAGCACAAGCAGATAAAAGACAAGAAACTACATGTACAAGCCCAAGAGCTGAAAGCAGAGAGCCAATGAAGATATAAGTCTTTGGGGACTGCCAGAAATCCTGGGGAGTTGATTAGATGCTCACAGATCACAGAACTGGAGACACGGACACCAAGTTTACCTCCCTCTCTAAGAAGTGTAGGAAGACCTCTGTTGGCACCCCAGTTATTTGCACCCCCCTGAGCAAAGTTTACTTACTTATTCAAAAGATATACATGAAGCGTTAGCAAGGCAGTGTGCCAGGCATCGTGATATGCTAACAAAAAAGTACAAAAACTAAAAAGGACTCTGGTCTCTCCATGTGGAACTTACAGTCACATTCCGAGCAGACACGAATTACAAATGTTGGTGGCTATTACAAATTAAATATCAGCGTGTGCTTGAGGGTCAGACCGGGAGGACACTGCAGACTGTGTGAGCCGTGGAGACGTAGCACTTAAGCTGAAGGCAGAAAAGCAAGCAGACATGAGACGGGAAGAGTAAAGGAAGAGCATTCCACACTGACAGGGCCTCCTGTGGCCAGACTCTCAAGTGGGAATGAATGAGGTTTACCAGAGGAGCCCAAAAAAGGTCAGCTGGTGGAGCAAAATATAGCCAGGGAGACATTAAGGCAACAGGAGGTCAGCTGGTGCCTGGACTCATAGGTCTTGTTAAGTTTGGAGTTTTTAATCTGACAGCAATGGCAAATACTGTAGAATTCTATTTGTTTTAATTTCTAAATATTTTTAAAAGTTCACTTATTTATTTTGAGAGAGACAGAGACAGTGTGAATGGAGGCGAGACAGAGAGAGAGGGAGATAGAAAATTCCAAGCAGGCTCCCCACCATCAGTGCAGACACAGGGCTCCAACTCACAAAACTGTGAGATCATGACCTAGTTGAAATGAAGAATCAGATGCTTGACTGACTGAGCCACCCAGGTGCCCCAAATTTTAGACAGAGGATTTGGAATCATATCTGGAGTTTATGAAAATCTCTTTAGCTTCAGTCCAATTACGGTGGAAACAGCTTCCTTTCTACAAGCCTCTTGTTTCAAATAACAGCAGCATCGCAAGTTTTACGTGTGGGTGAGCATTTGCTTTGTTTGTCCTTCCAACCCTCCAGGATGCCCAAAAAGGATCCTTTGGGAAGAACTGCAAAAAGAAATGTAACTGTGCCATCAGTGGCCATTGCCACAGGGTGTATGGTGCCTTACGTGTGAGCCAGGGCCCCGTGGGAGGTTTCATCGTCTGAGTAAGTCATGGGCAATAATTTGCACTCTACATGAAGCAAGGAGGCTCAAAAAAGTATCAAAAATATGTTAATGGCAGAGAGTAAAAAACATAACATTTTATATAGTCATATCATATAATGCTGGTTTATGTTCTAGTCTTTATTTAGCTTCCTGACATTATAGAATCTAGATTTTGATGAATGAAAGAAAAATATTTTTGTTCGTTACATTTTTTTCTAGTTAGTGTTTACCCTGAGAGGATTTCACTAGTTCACATAAATGGACATTTGAGAGGCATCTGGGTGGCTCTGTCAGTTAAGCGTCTGACTTCAGCTCAGATCATGATCTCACAGTCCGTGAGTTCAAGCCCCACATCAGGCTCTGTGCTGTCAGTTTGGAGCCCGGAGCCTGCTTCAGATTCTGTGTCTTCCTCTCCCTCTGCCTCTCCTCTGCTCATGTTCTCTCTCTCTCTCTCTCTCTCTCTCTCTATCTCTCTAAAATATTAACAAAAAGGTTTTTTTTTTAATTAAATGGGCATTTGACACTTTCTGGGAGTTGAATATCAAAGGCCCAGAGCTACTTTCTTTTATTTCTGTGTTCTAAAGCAAAACGGTTATCATTCCATAAAATTTCCAAAACTGGCTATTCATTTTGCATTTTGACCATCAATCATATTTTGCAAAAGATGCAAGAAAACGCAATCACCAATAAATACTCCAGCCCATCAATAACTTTTAGAATTTCTCCCAATGGGTCAGCACTGGATGCCCACCACCCCATCTTGAAGCTAACTGTGTGTGAACACTTGTGAGCCAACAGCAATCTCTATCCTCTTCCTCTGCCCATTTCATAGGCCCTTCTCTGGCAATCCTTCCTGAGTGGACCTCAGTAATACCATGACCTGGTCTTTAGTAACAGAGACCTTTTAAGGTCTTACATTATATTTTTAGTTGAATGTCCATGGATCTTATCTGCTTTATGAAAGGTATGCCCCTTGAAGACAGAGAGTAAATTGTGAATACTCTAATAAGAGAACCAGAGAAGCCATCGTTGAAAACTGAACATGGGTCATGAGGAAAGGTTAGACTTGGACAAGCAAAACAGAAGGGAAGAGGAAAAGGCATGGGTAAATTTGAACAAAGCAAATGTATGTAGGTGGTATGTTCTAGAACATCATACCTCCTAGAACATGCCAGGAGAAGAAGACCCATCTATAAACAAAGATACCCCCATTTCTACTTTTGTTCCTCGAGCGTAACAAGACACACCCCATTTTTAGTAATAACTTGAATATTTTATAAGGGAATATCACATGTTTAGACAAAAACTTTTAAATCGTAATTCATCTGGTCAAAAAGTCAAAGAGCAGATGGTGGTGGTAGTGATGGTAGTTATCATGTTGAATAGGAAGAACATACACATTCTAGTTCTTCAGGATTCTTCTTGCTTAGATTCAAGGCTTCATTTATTAATGCCACTTATCTGGCCTAGAGAAGCTTCAATTTGCAACCCTATACTAGTTTTCTAAATCTATCATGATAAATTGCCCTAAACAGCAGAAATGTATTGCCTCACAGTTCTGGAGCTGGAAGTCTGGCATCAAGGCATTGGCAGGCCATGATCTCTTTGAAAGTGCTGGGGAAGAATCAGTTCCAGACCTCGCCAGGCTTTCCATAGTTTCTTGGCTGGTGACCATTTAACTCCAGTCCTCATTCGCCCTGTGTGAGTGTCTCTGTGCCCACATTTCACCTATCTATAAGGACACCAGTCATATCAGATTAGAAACCCATCCCACTCCATTATGACCTCATCTTAACTAATTGCATAGACAACAACATAATTTCCAAGTAAGGATACATTCTGAAGTACTGAGTGTAAGGACTTCAACATATGAGTTCTGGAGAACACGTTTCAATGCATAACGAACACTGAGTAGACAATTGGATTCCCAAAAGGTGTTACTTCTTCTACTTTTCGCTTTTTCCTAAGCACATATTCACAGTTACATCTTCTTAATATGTCCAGTTGTCATATTTAAGCATTCCATCATGCCTGAGCCATTCCGTGAACCGCTAGTCTACATGCTGAACCAGGAAGAGTAAGGCATGGAAGCCAATCCAGGGAAGTGAGTGCTCTGAAATGATCAAGGGGAGTCCTATCAAGGAGGACAAAAGCTCTGAGAAAGAGGCCTGTGACTTAGTTGGTCTAAGCCACAGGACAGACAGGAGAGACATCACGTAATTTATCATCCAAATGGGACAATATTAACAGTGAAAAGGGATTCTGTTAATAAATCTGTCCTGCTTTAGGGGTCTCTGTTCCTGGCAACTAGGACAAGGATTTACCCTGCATGATGGCATTGTAACCACTACTTTAAATTACCTCTGCTAATAATAGAAGACATTAGCAGATGCTAATAATTTCCATCCAACAGAAAGTCAAGTGGCTTATTTTGTTTTCTCCAAGCAACTTTTGACAACAAAGCCTTTGTAGGCATACAATGCAATTACCTTGAGCTTGGAGGTTACTTGAAGGATCTTGATTAGTCCCTTGGACATTTGTAATGGAGGAGGAAAAAACATGTCAGAGAATTTGGAAAGGGAATTGAATTACTGTAAATAACTCCTCAAAGACAGAGCTAAGGGTATGTTTTCCTAAATGCAAAGGTGGGACTTCTTCAAATTAGAATTCATGTGCTGACTAACCATCCCTAACACTCAACGGCATGGAGGAAATAATGAAGAAAAGGCAAACGCCATTTGCCAAAAAATGTGGCCAAGAAAATGCTGCTGTCATGATGAAAGTTTTGTGTTATCTACGTGATGTAAAATTACTTCCGATTACTATATAATGAAAGGGAATGGAATCAATGGTGAGCCTTTACATCAGTGCTTGTCCATCATCTCCTTGCTGCAGCACGATGAATATAGGGCCTGGCAGACCTTAACAGTCCTTGGAGAATATTAACTATAGGCACCAATAGAGCACATTGAGAAGCAATTTCTCTCCCAGAAGCGCCAAAGCCTTTTAAGTAGTTCAGGCTTCACTGTTCACATCCAGTTGCCAAAAAGCAAATGAATTGCCTGATTTGAAAGACATTTGTTTTTCTGTTTCTTTTTTTGGCAGTCAGGATGATCCCCTTGTTTTCCCCATAATCAAGCCCCGCAGAACTACATGCCTGTACACTGACAATGTAAAAGAAACAAAGCGTGGTTTTCAGGTGACCGGTTTGTCTCAATCTGCTTGCAGACTGTCCCAAGGGGGTCTATGGAGCTGGCTGCTCTTCAGAATGTCAGTATGTGGAGGAGAACACCCTGGAATGCAGTGCCAAAAATGGCAGTTGCACCTGCAGATCTGGTTACCAAGGCAACAAGATGCCAGAAAGGTACAATCTGATGATAAATTTTCTTTCTTCTCTAATAACAATGCTCAGCCTTTGTTCAGCACCATATGATTATTAATTAGTTAATCCACCAGTGTCCTCAGGAGATGGGTAAGCTTTATTAATCCCCTGTTTACAGGTGAGGAAACTGAGACACATGGCAATGAAGTTATTTAACCTTGTCTTCTCAGCCTCTGCTCTTAGCTGTCCCCTTGCTAGCCTGAGCAGGAGAGGAAAGATCATATTGCAGAGAATTTTAAGATTAAAGCTGACCAATCGCTTCTTTGAGCTGAAGTGATCAACCAAGGGTACTACTAGCTTCCAGAGTTATAGGATTGTTTTCTTTATATGTGAAGTTAGATCATTCAAGCAAATACAATTCAAAGATTCTGACCACAGAGAAGTTTTTGAAAATTTAAATAGAGTTATCAGTATCATGTTTTTTTCAAATGTCTCAGTATTACATAAATATTTTTATGAAATTCATAAATATAAATTTTACGTAAAACATAATTCCAGTTATAAGTAATATACGTAGATACGTGACTGTGTATGTGCATTTACAATTTGGCGAAATGTATTCTGAGATATTAGTAATAGCTTCTCTGGTTTGTGGACTCATGGAAAGCTTTTCCCCAGGTATCTACCTAGCTCTCACTATTTCACAAAGTTTTATGTCATTTTTTTCACTGACTCTTGTCAGTCCTGCCTTAAAATGAACAACTTGCAAAATGCCTTGAACTTTTAAAAATCTTTCCAAAGTATGTATCTTCTAACACACTATTCTTTTTATTATTATTATAACATATTCCAATTATTATTATGTCTAATATTTATTCCCTGTCTTTCCTTATAGAAGCTAATCCCCACAGGAGAAGGCTATCAGTCTGTTTTGTTCACCAAAGTTTTCCCAAGCTCCTAGAACAATCCTAGCATATTGGAGTTGCTCAGTAAGTATTTTCTTAAATGAATACATAAATGTTCGTGGTTCAGTTTTTAGTCTTTATAATTTTTCTTATATTATTATGTTTGCTGGATTAAGCACTTGTTACTGTTTCATTCAGAGGAAATTCTCATGACATTTTTTTCCCTTCATACATAGCAAGACGGAATATATAACAAGTACAATTATACAATTAGCAGAACTAATTGGGCAAGTGAACTCTTCGCTTTTGAAGTGATCCAAAGGGCAGTCTTTTAAAAAAATTTTTTTAAATGTTTATTTATTTTTGAGAGGGAGGAAGAGAGGCAGAGATAGAGAGGGGGACAGAAGATTTGAAGTGGGCTCAGCTCTAAGTGGAGAGCCCAGCACAGGGCTCAAATTCAGGAACCGTGAGATCATGACCTGAGCCGAGATCAAGAGTGGAAGGCTTAACCAACTGAGCCGTCTAGGTGCCCTCAAAGGGCAATCTTTTTTAAAATCAGGAGGAGCAGTGAGGTGCCTGCGTGGCTCCACCAGTTTAGCCTCTGACTCTCGGTTTTGGCTTAAGTCATGATCTCACGGTTTGTGAATTCAAGCCTCTGTGTCAGGCTCTGTGCTGACAACATGGAACCTGCTTGGTATTCTCTCTCTCCCCCTCTCTCTCTGCCCCCCTCCCCAATCACACACACATATTCTCTCTCTCTCTCTCTCAAACTAAATAAATAAACTTAGTAAAAGATCAGGAGGAGCGAATAGGTTTGAAAGGAAGCCGTCATACCATTGGGTCCACATACAGAGGCAAACCCTGGAATCGAAGGTTGTCTTTCACCTTCAAGTATTACACAGTCCTCTTGCATTGTCAACTTCAGATGGTCTGCTGGGATTTTCTGGAGCTAACTGAATGGGCATGTGGGTCTCCCAGGTTGGCTATGAAACTGGAGTATGTGAGCAGCAATGTCAATCTAGATTTTGTGTAGAGAGGACTATTTATGTAGCTGCATTGTGATTTCCTAGGCTAAGAAGAAAAGAACTTAGGGAAACACAAGCCTGACATAGCACAAATGTGTTTCACATCATATAAGAGTAGGCCCCACGCCTATCTCTAAACCTCCTCCTGCTTTAACTGTTTTTTAGACCTAGAATCAGCCGCCTACTCAATAACTTGCTAAAGAAGTCATGCCCTGGAAGTCAACGCATGAGGAGACAATACCATATACAGACACCTTGGTAGATTTAATTTATTCTGATAACATTTCCTTAAAACGGCTGCTGAATATACTTTATTGGAAAATGCTTCTGAGATTCCCACTGTGAAGGAAAATGAGTTGAAAGTATATGTAAATTAGCAAAATAGAGAGGTCACCATAATCTTTGGAAAACATATTATTTTTCAATCAGATAACTTTGTCCAATTCTGATATTTTTGTCCAACCACAAAATGAAATTATGAATCAGGCTGGAGCGAGTGAATGGGATCGCCATGATTGGCAGTTGAAATCAAGGCAAGAAGAGCTCTCGAAGGGTTGTGCATGATGAAAATCAGGCCTGTTGTGTTTTTCTTTTTTAAAAAAATGAAGTAGCCCAAGTGCTCCTAGAGCCAGCCATAGCTTTAAAAATCTTAACTCTAGACCTGTGTCTAGATTGCTGATGAATAGTTAATTAAAGACTGCAGATCGTTTCAATAGCACTAATGAACAGTGCTCTCTACAATCAGCACCAGGCTTTATTTAGCCCATCAGCAATGACTTCTAAGAGTAGAGGAGCTGGTTTCTATGTGAGTCTGTGAAATAGCAAAAAAGAGAGAGGGGAAAAAAATGACAGTGCCTTTGCCTTATTTTGATTAGCTTGTAGCCAGTGGTATTTTGGATCCCAACTGCAGGCAAATCTCTAAATGTGGAGGACTCTGGTCCAGAGGGCCCACAGAGTCCATCTAAAAGAGGCCTTGATAGCCCTTGTGTGGTCATAAGAAGGACAGATGTCTGTTACCGTAGTTCCATGTTGGATGGACTTCAAATTTGGAACTCTGATGGCTGTCTAAAAGCAAGGGTCAATTGACTTGAGAGGTGCTAGTATTGTAGCACAGGTTGGGCGTAGTGGCTGAGTTTCAGTCTGGAAAGGCCAGAAGATCTGGATTTAAATCCTATTTTGCTGCTTATTAGTTGTGTGACTCAAACTAAGTTCTTATGTAAAAAGGAGATAAAGTTGCTTACATCACATGGTGATATTTATGGAAATGTGAGCTAATTTATGTAAACTGCTTGGCACAGAGTAATGATCGGTAGATAATAGCCAGGAATGGTATGAACATCCCAGAAAATGTCACAATTCTGTTATTCAGAGATTCCTCCTAGGACGAGAAGATCCTTCACAGCCCAGCTTGGATGGATGCCATTTTCCACAATTGTCATATGTTTAGGAAAGTTCCCAGGTTT